TAGCTTGTGAAACAGACGGTTCGGATCAATTTTTAGGGAGCGAGTCGGCTCGGGTCCCTACAAGCCTCCTACTACTACTACTACTACTACTACTGCTACTGCTACTACTACTACTACTACTACTACTACTTGAAGCACTGCTTGCAATGCTTTTGGAAGCATGCCATGCAGCACTGTTGGAAGTGCTCGTAGAAGCATGCCATGCAACATTGCCCATGCACTGCATGCACTACTAGGACTATACTAGAAGCACTGCAAGCAGTGCTGCATGACTTCTTGGCAAAAGCACTGCAAGCAGTGCTGCATGGAAGGATTGCAACAGCACTGCAAGCAGTGCTGCAAGACATGTTTGCAAAAGCACCCAAGGAGGTGCTGCATTTCAAGAAGCACGGCTTGCTGTGCTGCATGTGAAGCACCGCGAGCAGTGCTGCATGGAGGGCATGCAAGAAACACGAACCCTTGCAACCGACAGCACCACCGAAACACAAGGCTTTGGGCTCGAGGGTCCAGGTTTCTACCTCTGGGGACTATACAATGGGGCTCGAGTAAGCAGGCTCGTGGATTCCTTGGAAACGTGTTCGGGCAGCTGTCGGGCTTGGGCTTGGAGGCTTCCGGCTTCGTGGGACGGGTGTCCTGGAGGGCTGCAGAGCTACCGGGAACCTGTTTCGACGGTACTGGGCTGCGGGCCTCTAGGCTTGTTTGACAAAGTCTGTGGTTTTATACAAAGTTGTTCATAAACAACTTTCAGCCAGGAACCAGAAACGAAAGATGTTTATAAACAACTTGGGTACCAACAAAGGACACACACAGTTGTTCCTGAACATCTTTCTGCCAAGGATTAGGTACCCAAGATGTTCAGGAGCAACTTGGTTTGAGGATTCTGGTGGCAAAGTTGTTCATGAACAACTGTGTGTTCAAACAAGAGGCTGCTACTGCGTCTTGGAGGAAAGCCTAAACCCGAGCGGCCGAACTCTTTTTTTCCTCCCAAACTCCTCCTCAATAGTTGTATTGAGGGTCCTGCCCATGCCGAGCCATATACCCCATGTGGTCCTCGAGCCGCGACTTGAACGTCGGATCCTTGGCAAAGGTCGTGGCCAGGTGCTCCAGGCGGTCGAAGTCCTTGTGGTGCCATGCAGCTGCGAGCGCCACCGCTCTGCACAGCCACCCACTTTGCAGCTTCGTGCTCCGCCGCGAGTCCTCGAACTTCTCCTCTGCAGAAGAAAGGCCTCCAGATCCAGTCCCAGGCTCATCTGTGCTGCTGCCAGCCCCCTGCGAAGTCTTCTGCTTCTTAGAGGGAACCGGCGGAGGCCTGTTCACCTGGTGCATCGCGAAGACGTCCTGGGCCTCGGCCTGCCTCTTCTGCGGCGAACTCTTCCACGGAATGACCGCCGGCCGAACCACTGCTGGCCGCTGAGGTGGTCCTCCCTTCGCCGTCGTCATCGGCAGGTTCGGCCAAGGCAGAGCCACTGCCTCTGGCACCCCAGGCGAGGATGCAGCCACCCTCAAGGCTGCATCCTCGGCAGCCTTCCGGGCTGCCTCCTCTGCAGCCTTCTTGGCTGCCTCCTCTGCAGCCAAAATGGCCGCCTGCTCTGCAGCCAAAATGGCCGCCTTCTTGGCCGCTTCCTCTGCAGCCTTCCTGGCCGCCTCCTCCGAAGCCCTCATCGCAGCCTCCAGTGCAGCCTGTGCAGCCTTCGCAGCCTCCTCCTCTGCAGCATCTGCCTGGAAAAAGGGCACCGGCTCGGCCATCTGAGGTGCCACCAACGCCTGGGTGCTGGGATGCTCTCGGATCGTGCACAGTGCTGCTGCCTTTCTTACAAATGAAGCAAGCCCAAACTGTTGCCAACACGACTCAAGAATCAGAATCCACCCCTGGCCACACGAAGTCCGGAGGACGTGCAGCATCGGCCCCTGTCTGGTGTCCTCGTAGGGAACCAGGGTTCAAGAGTTTATGGTCGGCGGTTTGTGGTTTTGGGTTTAGGTTTAGAAGGGTTTACGGTTTAGGGTTTTCAGTTCAGGGTTAGGGTTTGGGCTTCAGGGGTTTGGGGTCCGGATTTTGAGTTTGCTCTTGTGGCTTTAGGCTTCAGGGTCTCGGGTTTAGGCTTTAGGTTTAAGGGTTGAGGCTTGGGGTACAGGGGTTGGGAGCTTAGAGTTTCTGTGTGTATGGCCCAGCACCACCGGAGCAACAGCACATCCCGAAGGATTGCATGTGATCATGAAAGCCCAGCAAGCAGGACTGCATGACTTCAAGCAAACATCATGAAAGCCCTGCAAGCAGGACTGCATGAACTCCAGACACCATCATAAAAACCCTGCAGGCAGAAGTGCACTAAATGAATCCCAAATCCTCCGAACCCAATACTCTCCTCCACCCCGACAGAATCCACGGCAAGTCCTGGTCCTGCACTGCTTGGAGCATCGGCAGTGGGCTGCTCGAACAGCTGCGGGTGGCTCGCTGCAGCTCGTTCCCACCACTCCTGGTCCTCGTGGCTCAAGGTCAGGTACCAATCACACCACTCCTTCCTCGTCCAGCCAGAAATCTGTTCCGAAATCCAGTTTTTCTGGTCCTCCGTCAGCTCCAGATATTCATATTCTTTCTGAGGAGCAGGAGCAGCACGACCAGTGGACGCGGGGGCAGCCATGTTTCGGAGTTTGGGAGGTTTTTTTTTCCTGGTGTGCAAACCTTGCCTGCTAGTGCCGGACTTTTAGAGAGTGAGTCTGCCTGGAAGACGAGCAATGCTACTGTGTTGGCAGCACGACTATATATATATATATACACATCTATATAGACCACTGCATTCTCATGCTGGAGTAAGTCACCAATATCTGCATACATGCCTCGGAGCACACAACACATGCAATCTCACAATGTGCCTCTGCAGGTAGCCGAATCTGAACATAATCTCCCATTGCTGCTGACAACCTCATGCTCAAAGCTTTCTGAAAACATGCTGTTCCTGGAATACAGAGAACCCAATCATGAAACCATGCTTGAAGTGCGGCAGAACCTGCATCTTGAGGCGGCACGGGTGCATAGACAATCATTCACCCTTCCTCTCATGCATGCAGCACAGAAGCTAAGACACTCACTGGACACTGACACACAGCTGCCATGCATCATGAAGCCCCGCGAAGCAGGACTGCAACATCATGAAGCCCCTCAAAAGGACTGCAACATCGGACTGCAAGAAACTATTTCATGAACCCCGGGAAGCCCTGCCATGAGGACTGCATGCATGCAGCAGGAAGCCCTGCCAAGCAGGACTGCAAGAAAGTAGTACCCTAAAGCCTAAACCCTAAAACCCTTGAACCCTTAACCCTTAACCCTTAACCCCGCACCCCTTAAACCCCAAAAGCATAAACCTAATCTCGAACTAAATGTCAAGTTAACGGAAATTTTTTGGAGCAGATCCCCATACTTGGGTGTACGTACATACCTAGCATGCAACAACCACGAGCTACTTGGGGTGTATCTTTCTGCAACTCAGGCTGCATCTAAGCTGACAAAGAACACCTGTCAAGCCACGACAGCAATTAAGGCTTTTCAGCTTCTGATAGTCCAGCTGCAGCCATCCACACAACTCACTCTTCGTCTTCCTTGCTGTCCTCCGACTTCTCTTTCTTCTCGGCAACCTTCCGTTTCTTGTAGATCCTCTTGTCGTCCGGATCCGCATCCTTCATAGAAGCTACTCAAATGCACTTTAGAGCACAACCAAAACACTTATATACACGTCTAAGTACACACGAGTCCTCAGTGATCCTTTTGAAGACCTGCTCCAAGCTGTCGGGCTCGAGCAAAATCAACAAGTCCATGGAGCTTCTGTGTTTGGATTGGACCCCTATCTGGATGCCGTCCACCAAAACAAAGTCCACTGTGGGGCAGGTTACCTTGACTTTTGTTTTCTTGGCATCGGGGAACAAGTCACCTGCTCCACTCTTCTTAGCATCATCCTTCTTGAAGGACTCAGCAAGGGCTTCCTCTCTGGCTTCTTTGAGCTTCTGCAAGCCAGGCGAGGATGTGAGACTGCCTGCTGTTCTCGAACCCAACAACAACTTCATCATGATTCTGTTTGAAGGCTGGATCTTCAGGTATTTTGTTCCGCCGATCTCCACGAGCAAGTCGTTCGGCACCGCCACCGTGCGATTCTGCCATGTAATGCTTGTGGAAGTGCCGATGGTGACCATGGTCTCCAAAGGCTGAAGCAAGAGAAAAACAATTTCAAGGGCTTTGCTCGAACACTCAGCTTGCACGGAACAGAAAAATCAGGAACGAGAGAGCACACCCATGCAGGATCACAGACAAGAAGAAGCACAGTTGTGCTGTTCCCATGCAAGCAACAAGAAGTTGTTGCTACAAGGCCACAACAATAAAAAAAAACAAGAAGCACCTCGAAAGGAGCTGTCTTGTGCAACAAAACAAGAAGAACACAGGGACACGAAGAAAACATCCATCGCGGGTGATCGGGTCGCAGCAAGTCCGGTGGGTGAACCGGGTTCGCATGATGACGTTCAAAATCGAATCCTAGAAACATCCGGCTGCTGGAAGCGGCAGGAAAATCTCATGCTGCCTTCCTCTTCTTGCTGCTGCTGGAGCCCTTGTCCAGCAACTCCTTCGTCGGCTGAAGCAACAAAGTCTGGGCGCTCAGCTTCTTCGTGTTCATAAGCACAGGGACTTTCATCCCTTCCATGGTTTTCCAAACAATGTTCATGCTGACCTCATCCTCCTTGCCAGTCGTTTTCACCCAGAAGAAGGGCACGATGATTTCCGTCGCCTTCGGCCTTGTGTTGCAGATTTTCCAAGAAAGCCTATGTGGTCGGCAACTTTTCCCATCAAGACCCCTCCTATTCTATCTATCCTGAATCCCATGTCTCTGAAATTCCAGGCTAGGAACTCGTCAAAGTCTTTGACCTGGGGCCAAGGGCTCAGCTGATACTTGGCACCTTTCCATTCCACATACAAGGTGAGTTTGGACTCATCTTTGGGCTTGGACAAGCTTGCCAGGGGGAGGAGCTTGAGCTTCTGAACTGGGAAGTTGCCTGAGGTGTAGAGGGCAGTGGGGCTGACGATGTCCAAGTTCCCCGAGTCGCCCGAGTTGTGAGCCTTGTAGAGTGTGAAGAGCATCTGCTGAGCCTCGGCGAGCAACTCGGCCTCAGCCAACACGGAAGATTTCCCGTACATGAAGCCGTCGGCCACATCCTGCGAGAAAATCCTGGGAACCGCCACCCTGGTGGCCTTCCACTTCTTGAAAAGGTTGGGGGGCACCAAAACGGTTTCCGGGGAGCCATAGAGGGGGGTGTGCACGAATTGGGCCTCGTCATTCTCGAGACCCGTGAAAACAAAGACCTTGTCAGGGTAGTCCGTGTGCATGTACTTGCCTCCCTTGCTCAAGTGCTTGTTCTGCAACAAAGCCTGCTCGCCGACACTCAAGCCACCCAAGAGGTTCAAGGGCTTCTGCTCATCCTCTTGGTCCTTCGCATCGCTCCGACTTCCAGATCCAGAGGGTGCACGGCCCATGGCTTCCTTGGCAAAGAGCTGGGCCACGTGCTCTGGGCTCTGATAGACATCCATCTTCTCGCGGCCCAGCTTCTCTTTTTTGGTCAAGAGCAAGCTCAGGCGAACCATCATCAAACCCAAGGCTCGTTGAACCTCGGTCGTCTTACCGGAGTCCACATAGACCTGGTACCCGTGCGCCAAGATCTCCTCGGCCTGCAAGAGCTTCTGACGAAGATTGGCACCCTTCAGCCGGTCCAGATCCGCCTTGACAAGCAATCGGGCCGTTCCGTCCACAATTTTTGGGCTCGTGAGTTGGCATGCCAACAGCCCAGCACGAAGGAAGGGGAACTGGGTACTGGGCTCCTGCAGGTCCCAGGAACACACGGCCTTGAACAGCTCTTCACCCACAGCGACGGTGATCGAGAGTTCCTTGCAGAACCCCGACAAGAAGGAGACGAGAGGAAATCCCGGTCCCCCTCCAAACTTCTGAACATAGAGGCCGACGTGATCCATGTACGACTGACAAGCGGGCTTGGACGCCTTCACGGCCTGGATGGCGTCTTT